TGATTACATCAGAGCACTTATAGAGCTGAGGGTCTCCAGCTTGACTGCCTACTCAGACTTCCTTTAAAAAGGGAGGAACTAGTCAGTAAACAGCAAAGTTATTTGCTATCTATGTTTTAAAATAGGGGTCATCTGGAAATAGTCATGATGCCTTAGGGTCAAATTTTCAGATGTACAAATCACTATTTCCGTGGACTTCAAAGGAGCCATGCTAATTTTCCACCCTCAGGCGTCTGACCTCTGGATTTTTCTTCAGCTTTCACACTACGTTCACTACCTTCCTTACCACACCTTTCACCAGACAAAGTAATATTTAGCCCTTTGCTGATATTCTGTGCTGAATTAAAAGTTCCCACCACCACTAAGCAACACAGAATACCTTCATTCATGATTTTCAAAGCCATGAAAAGAAAAATTAAGATTTTTTAAAAGATAGTTTTAACTTCCCCTTGGCAACTTTTCCCTAGGTGTATAGCTTGATAATTTCTGATGCCCCAAAATGAGGAAGTAGGAGACATCAACCACAGGGGCCCGGTCACCCTGACTGTGGCAGAGGATAGGGCAACAGGACTTCACACCACATCCCTATGCTGGTGGAAAAAATGGAAAGAAATTGGTATGGGGAGAAGGAATGAGTTCCTATAAACAGCTCTGAACCAGTGCTCACTTACAGATCACTGAAGTCACCACTTGCTTATAGAAATACCATGCAGCCTCCTGCTGACCTGAAACCTTAGGCACTTGTCAAATCACATAAAAGCAGAAGAACACAGAACTAGTCATACTAGATCATACTAAAGTCCGATTCAGCTTAACATTCTTTTTCTAACAATGGCCAGGAGCAGGCTTCTGAAGGAAATTACAAGAACTGGGCATGTAGAGAGCAATTTTCTGGATTTGTGCTCTCATCTCCTGTCTGTCAGTCAGGTGTCCTGTTCCTAGGACCACTATAGAGCACCCAGGTGTATTTGTGGTGCGTTTTCCCTGCCCCAATGGTTGGCAGGGCTCAAACAGACAAATATGCAATTTTCACTCCAGACTGTCTGCAGGTAACAGCCTACCTCCAACTCACCCACCAGTGCACTGCATTGAACACAATTTCAAAACATTATTTTTTGAGGCTTGAAATAACTGAATTTCCCTGGGCTTTAATTTACCACTTGACTAGTTTCCTATTTAACCTTTCACTTCAATCCTTATTTCAGAGCATGAAATGATACCCTTGCACACCATATTTCTCTTTTTGAGGCAAGCCTACCAAAATTATCTTCTGCTTGGATGTGATGGGAACTGCATGCAACTTTCTGAAACAAACTTTTTACCTGAAGTTCCACTTATTTAGAAAGGAAAGGGCACGAAAATTTTCTGAAAGAATAATCTTTCCCAAACTCAGTTTCTGAAAGGTATCTAAGTCAGTGCCTGGCTTTAAGCAAAGGAGTTGCCATAGAAATACTCCTGTGCTTAATTTGATGCCTGATAAATCAGGGATTTAACCAGGGACACTGTAATTAATCACACAACTTAGTCAGGACTTGCTAGCTAGATATATATATATATATATATCTTACACAGATAAGGCACAGCAGGGAATCTTACCACAGGTTCAGACTTTAATTAGACACATCTTAATTATCTTGCGGGATGAAAGACCTTAAAACAAAGCTGGAGTGACTGTACATCCTCTCAATACTGTATTTATTCATTCTTAGGATTTAAATAAGAAGACTTATGAGGAAGACAAAGCCCACACAGAGAGACTCCTCTCCCCACATGCAATGAATTTTTGTTTACTGCTGCTCATCTAGTTGATTTTCATGGGCAGCAAAACCTGCAGTTGAAACACAGCAGTGCTGAATTAGCTGTGGAAGTGTGTGTGTGTCTGTGTGTGTCTGTGTGTGTCTGTGTGTGTGTATAGACATGTGGGGAAGTATGTACATGGGAGTAATCTCATCTTTCATTTTGTGTATTAATGACAAAATGGATCCAAACAATTTCTGCATTTAACAGCAGGCCATTTAGCTGAGGTCTCGGTGAAATCCACACAAATAATTTACAACTGCTTGTCTGGTCTATGGGGCTAGACTTGTTGGTATGCTCAGACAGGAGATAACAACCTCCATCGGTCCACTCACTGTTGTCCTGTCACATACTGGACCAGAGACAAAGAAAGCATGGTAGGGAGCAGAGTGCTTACGTGAAAGAAAGGATGGTCTCATTTCCAGTTTCTGCTCTCCCAAGCATTTCACCAGTCCAAAATTTTTGGAGCCTAAGAGCCTGTTAACACCTGAGAGATAAGAGATGTGCATCTCTTCAGACTGATGACTGAACCAAGCTCAGGTTTCTCCATCTTGGGGAGAGAACATTTTCCAACACTGCACTGTTAGCACAGGAAGGAGGGAGGCAGTCTGTCCTTGTTGCAACGATTTTCAAATAGCATCTCCTTATTTACTGTTGTTTTTGTTTTACTTAGCGGCTGTGAATGCACCTCCCCACAGCATGGAGTTAACAGCCTCCTAAGCTTCAACGAGACATCTTGTTTTATTGTAATCTCACAAAGAAGGCTGTAACAACCTTTGGTGGCAGTGCAGGCTAAACACACTCCAGAGAGCTTGCGCTGCACTGATTGACTCCAAAGGAGATGTGTTTTCTTCACAGGGCCTGTGGAGCAAAGGCAGCACGAAGCAGAGCCCCTGGGGACCCATCAGGCTAGCTAAGAGATTTAGTCAGGGACACTGGGATAATAACGAACCTTGGTTAATTCTGGGCCCAGCCCCTAACAGTGTGTCTCGAGAAAGGGAGAGGAGGAGGAAGGCAACAAATGAGCGTGGCATCTCGCAGGGCAGAGATTAACAGCCAGCTTTATTGTGTCGGTGGAGGGGGATCAGGGTCAGCAGTGGGGGATGGCGCACGGCTGGTCCCGTGACAGTGTGTGGGCCAGCTGTAGGGAGTTGGGACTCGGTGTTGCAAGCAGGAGCGGTCCCGCATCCACAAGGGCCAAGGGGGGCTGGAGCTGGTGCCGCTCTCGAGTGCTGTGGACCCACAGGAGGACCCAAAGGCAGCTGGCTGGTGGTGCTGGGGCTGCCGGTCTTGTGTGCCAGCAAGCTGTGGGATAGCCCCAGCACCACCTGGCTGGGGGTGCTGCTCCTAGCACTTGGTGTTGGAGCACGGCTCCTCTCCTGGCATCTTCTGGGCCGGCTGTAGCTATTTTGGGCCTGACGTTGAAAACTGGAGTGGTTTGGCAACCTCTTGGGCCCAGGTGGGCTAGAGCTGCCACTGCCCTGAAGCACTGGGGAGCTGTGGGATGGCCTTAATATATCATTGCTGGGGCTGCTGGTCTCCACTGCCAGGGAGCCATGGTACAGCCCCAATAGCAGCTGGCTAGTAGTGCTGGGGCTGCTGGTGTCAGGTGGTGGGGAGCTGCGGGATGGCCCCAGCACTGCCTGGATGGCATTCTGCTCTCAGCACTTGGTGCTGGCATCTTGCCATGGCATCTTCCAGGCAACTTGTAGGGATGTTGGTCCCAACGTTGCAAGCAGGAGCGTTCTCACATCTGCGCATGCCCAGGGGGGCTGGAGCCCCTGCCACTCTCTGGCTTAGGAGCCACAGGAGGACCCAATGGCAGCTGGCTGGCGATGCTGAGGTGCTGGGGAGTTGTGGCATGGCCCCTGCAGCACCTGGCTTGGGTGCTGCTCCCAGCACTTGCTGCTGGTGTGCGGCTCCTCTCCCGGAGTCTTCTGGGCCGGCTGTATGGATTTTGCCCCCAACATTGCATCTGGGAGAGGTTTTGCACATGTCAGGACCAGACGGGCTGGAGCAGCTGCTGCGCTGAAGCACTGGGGAGCTGCAGGAGGACCCCAATAGCAGCTGGAGGGTGCTGCTCTCCAGAGCTCAGGAACCGTGGGATGGCCCCAATGCCGCCTGCCTAGCAGCACTGGGGCTGCTGGTCACTGGTGCTGGGAAGCCATGGGACCGCCCCGATGACAACTGGTTGGCATTGCTGGGGCTGTTGGTCTCCAGGGCTGGAGATCCGAGAAACTGCTCCGATGCCGCCTGGCTCCTGGTGCTGGGGCTGATGGTGTCCGGTGCCAGAGATCCAAGAGACTGCCCCGATGCTGTCTGGCTGGTGGTGCTGGGGCTGCTGGTTTCAGTTTCCGGGGAGCCATGGGACAGCTCAGAACCTGCCTGGTTCCCAGTGCTGGGGCCGGCAAGCTCCGAGCTGGGGCTGGAGATTGGAAGGGGAAGCAGGAAGGTGAAGGGCACAGCCCCCCAGGCACAGGGCAGGAGAGGCCAGAGCGGTGTGCCAGCCATCCAGGAGATGTTCTCCCATGATGGCAATCTGATGGAGAAAGGAAGATGGATGAGCCCCTGCTGCCCAGCATACAGCAGGTGCAGGGTGTCCCTGCTCTTCTCCCCTGCCCTGTTTCCAACTCCTCTGTCAAGCTGAAGCTCAGACTCACGGGGCAGCAGAGGGCCAGGACTGCTAGGGCAGCCCCTGGCATGGCACAGCGCTTGCACCCTCCTGTCTTGTGAGCCGGGCAGCAGGACACCAACCTAAAGGGGACTTGGATCCCCATGACAAGCATCTCAGAGAGGAAGTGATGCCTATCTCTGCAGAGCGGGCACTGGAAGCAAGAAATGCCAGAGCGCACAGACTGTCCTTGCAGGAGAAACAGAAGGAGCAGGAGTGAGGCCCTGGTGCTGCTGAGCGCCCACTGTGCCCCAAGGGCGAGGGAATGGCTCCTACCTGGATGCAGGCCCTGTGACACCAGGCGTGTGCATCCGGGCACACCAGGGTGCTGTGGGACTTTGCATCCCCCACCAGCTCCAGGCAGATGAGGCAGGTGGTGTTCTCCTCTGGAACCGCCTCCACTGCCTGCCCTGGGCAGTGTTCCCAGCAGAAGGACCTGGGGGCAAGAGGAAAGGGATGGGTGAGGTGGGAAGTGCTGGGGCCTTCCCCGGTGGCGGTGAGGAGGAGAGAGTGCAGAGATCAAGGACCAACTTTATTGTGCTGGTAGAGGAGGATCAGGGCCAGCAGGGAAGGATGTCACATGGCTGGTCCCATGGCGGCGTCCAGCCCGGCTGTAAGGGTGTTGGGCCCGGCGACGCAAGCTGTAGCGGTCTTGCGTCCGCAAGGGCCCAGTGGGGCTGGAGCCCCTGCTGCTCTCCAGCACTCGGGACCCTCGGGGGGGCTGCGAT